AATATTGTTAACATTTTTTTAAAATTAGTTTTTAGGCTTTTCATTTAATTTGGTTTGTAAATATATTTTCAACATATGCTTTTAATAGTTTTATAGTATTTATGTATATAATTTTAGAGTTTTTTTTTGAAGTTTTAATACTTTTTCTATTTTAGTTTGTTTTTAGAAAGTTTTTAATTTGTTTTTCTATTTAGTTTTCAGATTTATGTATATATTTTCTAATTAAATTTTCTAGAACTTCATGATGTTTTTATTATTTTAAGTTTTTTAGAATTTTAATATATCTTTTTCTAAATCTAGATTTTAGCATTTTTATTTATTTTTGAGGTTTTCATTATACCTCATTTTTGGGTCGATGAAGAGACCTCTAAGTTGTAGTTTGTCAAATTATTGACGAATAGCAACAAGTCCGAGACCAATTTCTTTTTATCGTTTTCATTCTCCGATTTTTATTCATTTTGTCTTCTTCGATCGATGACGAGACCTCCAAGTCGTTATACGTCAAATTATTAATGGAAACGACAAGTCCGAGACCATTTTTCTTTACAACTTTTCATCTCTGATTTTTATTCATTTTATCTTTTGTTTCGGTCAATGAAGAGACCTCTAAGTTTTTCTGTCAAATTATTGATGAAAAACGATAGATCCGAGACCAAACCTTCTTTTCTATTTCATTTCTTCTTCTTTTTATGATTTTATTCAACTCTCTCGATCTACGAAGTCTTCTATTCGTAAGCGCCGTTTTATCGAAGTCGATAACCTTCTCGATTTCAAATCTACGGAAAATGACCATTTGGGTCATTTTCTTTACTTTGGGATCGTGATAGGCTACCTTCGATTAATTGACATAATGTTTGCGATTAAGACGAGATCCCACCTCTTCTTTGGTCCGCACGACATGATTTAATCAGAGAATGATCCTCAATATCATTTCTCTATCTTGTCTTTTGCACGAATATCAATTATGCGACCTCCTATAGTTCGACTTCCATCATAAGTCGAGCTACGACGGTTTAGCATTACATTTCGTCCCGATTCATTTCACTAACAAAACTAACCACTAACTTTACTTTCTGTCAAATATCAATTGCTTTAAATTCAGTCATTATATTTTTTGTACATATTGTTATATATTTTTTTATATTACCCATATTTTGTATATATCCTCTTCATCTTAATTCACATTCTTTCAAAACACTTAATAAATTATCGAAATCATAAAACTCAAAATTGGTGGACTGTTGTTTGCTTATCCGAGTGTCGGATCTTTGGATATTTTCAGGAACCCAAGCATGGAGTTTTGCCCGACTTTCGTTCAAAGGCGTAGCTTAGGACACATTGCAAACGCACGACTTTCTCTTGGACTACCTGACGATGAGACTTTTTATTTTCGTGCAATCCCGTGTAATTTTCATGTACCCCTCTCCTATTTCTGATGTACGTATTTCGTATTTCTTTGATTGCGGCTTATCGTCTAGGAGCACCCCCATGGACTAGAATATTCCGTTTTCAAACTAATTCTCGATCCGTCATCGAGCTATTTTCAAACTCACTTTCACCACGCTTTTGCACACAAATACAAGTCAAACCCTTGATCCAACGTCAAGCGTATTTTCTCAACCAACTTTCAAACCAATTAATCTCTTTTCAAAACTTCTTTTTCCAAACTTTTCTCCTAAAACCTCGGTCTCGTACCGAGTGCATTTTCAAACTCTTTTTCCTAATAAAACTTGAATAGTTGTGGAGTGGTTAGGCGTAGGCCTTCTCCTATCCCGAGTGCTTGACATTACCGTTAGGGTTCACTGTCGCAAAGCACTTATCATTCAAGATCAAAAACACCTTTTAATAAGAGAATGAAAATTTCTTTGTATTGAATTAAAGAGAGAGGATTTAGTGTAGACTTCTTCCTCTCCGAGTGTCAGGATACTCACTGTAGAGTGTGTGTTCTCGATACTCGTCTTTCAATACGAAGACGCGACTCTATTTGCCACACCTTTTCATAACAAAACTTTGAGATAAAGAATTGGGTACTACCCGTAAGGGCTTACTAACCGAGGACCTATTTCACCCCTAAAAAATAAATTCCACAAACCATATGTGACATCTTGCCTCGATAGGCGAAAACTATCTTTTCAAAAAGGATATGTTACGTCCGTTCTACCGCAAACAGGTAACACCTAAGTCTCCAACGAGCGAGCAACAATACACCTAAACTGCTATCACGAACTACGTTGCTCTGATTTCTCATGCCAGATGAGAATACGTAGGCACAAGACGGCGATGTCTTGGCGAGTGCACTTTTCACCTTTTTAACCGTAGGCCGAACTATGGCTGCTCTTATTCTTTACTTCTTTTGAGTAAATATACGTAGGCACAAGGGCCACAATCCTTTTCGAGCACACTCCCCTCCTTTATTCGTAGTTCTCCGAACTACGTTGACTCTGACTTTCTCATATCTATTAAGAATATGTAGGCCTAGGACCGTGAAGTCCTACCGAGTCTTTCTTCTCCCCCTTTATCTTTCCTTTCCCTAGTTCTAACCCTTCTCTTTACCCCTTAGAACACTCTTTATAACAATAACTTTTAGCAGATATCTTCATACATAGACAAATAAATGGTTCCCATCGAGTACGATGGATGCGAGGGATGCTAATACCTTCCCTTCGCATAACCAGCTTCTGAACCCGCTCTTTGGTCGTGAGACCATCTTATCTATTTCTTTCTTGGGGTTTTCTCGATGTTTTACCTTCCCCCCATGGGATAAATAAAGTTCGATGGCGACTCTTCTGTCTTTCATTCTCGCCTCTCCGTCGTTGCACGATTTTTTCGAGTAGCGCCACATATGAATTAGGAGAAACACAAGGTTTAAACTCGATTTTTCATTTCTCAATCATATGACCTGGTTTTCCATAATTGAAGTAAGAGAAAACACCAATACCATTTCTTTATGGTGATGATTTTTGTCTATCAATTAGAGTAATTGGGGCCCTTGAAGGGTTCTCATTCTTAATTTGGTTCTTAACATTGCAGTTCTGATTCTTCAATCATTTGCCAAATTGCTTCAAAACTACACCAAATTTATTATTGTTATTTGAAACAACCAATACTTTTTCTCTTTGATCATGTTTCTAAGATCCTTCTTCAATTCGAAGGCAAACAATCAGACTCTCAATTAAAAATTCTTTTATTTTGTGGTGAAACAGAATTTTAAAAAACTTTCAAACTAGGGGCAATTTTTCAATAATAAAACCAATTTTAAATTGTTCTTCTAAATACATACCTTTTGTGATGATCTTATAAGCAATATTTTGAAGTTCATAACATTGAGCCTCCACGCACCTTTCATTTATACCATCTGATACTTTAGGTTACGACTAATGACATACTTCTTTATTTCAGCTTCCTCGTTGTCATACTTCTTTTGCAGAATCTCCCAAACTAATTTTGCAGTATTGTAGATCATCTGCGAGACTATTAAAAATATGATTTTGTAGAGATAATCATTCTCTTTCCATAAGGCGTTTTCTTTTCTGAGCTGAAAATTGTTCACTTTAATCTATGCAGCAAATTCAACTTCAACCCCATTAAATGTTCCATCTAAATCCACAAATTTTTTACCGTTAATTTGTTCGGTTGATCCATAAGGAGCAACGAGAATATCATCGGTCAGAACATTGACAACTTTTTTTAAAAAAAATTGAAAATTTTGTTGCCATCATTTGAAGTAACTTCCTCAAACTTGAGTGGTTTGTCAGAGACAACAGCTGCAGAAGTACCAATAATTTCTTCGGTAGCCATGGCAGTTCAAAACGTCTTAAAGTTGTTGTTTCACAGTTTTGAAAATTAGCCACAGAAGAAATTACCGGGTCGAGTCGCGGACTAGGTCGCTCTCTTTAAGACGTTTCGCGGCATTGCTCAAAGTTATGTGCAAAACACTCAAACTACCGTGTCGCCTTCAGGATAAAATAACTTAGTTCTATAATGTACAATTACTACTTGCACAATAGATAATTGGTCTATAAATACATCCTCTGATGGTACAAAGACCATTTGAATATAATATAATATAATATCACTCTTAGTATCTGGCAATAACAAATCGTAATAATATCTCAAACCAAGAGAAATTCCAATAATTCTCCAAAGAGAATTCAATAGTAGTCATTTAACCACTAAAAATAATTTCTCAAATAAAAAGAAGTTCAAATAATTCTCCAAAGAGAATCTAAAAATTAATACTTGTAATTTCCCAACTCAAACAAGAAGAAATTAACATAATTCTCTAAAAGAGAATTCAAGAAAATACTCGAAAAAATCAACGGGTAGAAAGAAAGAAGGAGAGGTTGACACTTCGACAATTCCAAAAATGTAAAGTTATGAAAATGAAAAAGGAAAAACTCAATAAGTTTTTGGTTTATTTTGTAATGAAATAGAGAATTTTTTTATATAATAAAACGAGGAAGAAAATATATTTCACCTGATCAATATTCGACAATTTTTTTTTTTTTAAATTAACACAAAGTAGGACTTAACTTATAAATTTTTTTCAAATTTATCTCCATATATTAAAATAGTGACATAGTGTTGCAACAAGGAAACACTTAATTCAAATTATAATATATGTACATTATGGGGGGTTTTGCATTTGCTTCGCTTTGGATTCATTTTTACAATCACCTGAACCACAAAATAACCTGTTTGCTGCAGTCTCCATTTGGTTGGTCATGCAAATAAATCAAACAATTTCTCAACTGTACTATTGTGTACAACATGTACCATCCTTTTGTCTCCTTATGGCACAACTTTTTTTGTCCAAAGAGTTATACATAGTGCTATTCTTCTTCTAGAGTATCCAAAGATGCATAAACTATGTAATCCACATATTTCAAGCCAGACTGTAAAGAAGAGACAATTACATTTTATAATAATATAATTCAAATTTTAATTGGTTCACAACCCTCTACAACCAGAAAATTACAGGCATGAAATGAAGAAAATTTTCAAACAGCTAATTGTTGTTGCTTTTGATGTGAAGATTCATCTTCATTAAAGCATAAATGAGTATTTAGTGATTTTCCTAAACTTAAGGAATAATCTGTAAAATTTAGAGGTTGCATGAGCATCATTTCACTCTGTAGGTGAACACAATAGGCTTGGAAAGTGTTTGGAGTTACATTTAAATGGAATCCCAAACCAAATAGAAAGTCCAACTCAAGAAAATTCATCTCTATGGTAGTGATTCCTCCAACTTTTGCATAGTAAGCATTGTTGTAGTATCTGAAAATTTAAAAATGTGGAAGCATTATATTATAAATTATGATATATGACCTAGAACAACACACTTGTCTAAATGAGTTTCTATGATTATTATCACCGCTATTACTTGTTAAAAAAATATTATTTTGAATTGGTCAAAAACTTAATAAGAGAAAGCTCATATCGAATCCAAATCGAAAATATTCCATATTAGAGATGAAGAAAAATAAATTATTCAAACTCTAACTCACGCATATTATTCATCATTTTTGTATTAATTAGCATGAAAACATTAATTTTATAGATCAATCTCTTCTCCATCGCATCAGAAATTCAAATCCGTCCCTAATTGATTAAGAAGAATTAGTAAAATGTTTATTTTATGGGAAATTTGGTGAGTACGAATAAAAGTTAGATGGTGAGTGCATCTCCATGCAATAAGGGTGATCACATGGGTGGGTTGTCTCCATCTAATGGAAAGACAGGCTGGACATAGTATTATTCACAAGCAAAGCTATATTCTTTTTACATGTATGGTCGTTGTCAATTTACATATAAATGTCACATGATTATTGTAGAAACTAGAAAGAAGTAAATATCACTGAATTTAATAGGGTAACTATCATACAATGTTTTATTCATCAGATATTTTATTTTACATACATAAATTGATTTAGGTGTATCTAACATCATAAATTTCATAAGAAGAAATTCAAAAATTCACAAGTAGTTTTAAATACTCACACGTTATATAATCATTGTAACATATTTCAGAGAAATTCTATTAATCTTGATCTTCAAATTTAATTAACTCCACTAAAGGAACATTTCAGAGAAATTCTATACTTATCAACAACTAAAGAAAACTTCACAATTCATCATTGTTTACCATAAACTTTCATAACATATTTATTAAATGAAAGAAAAATAAAATAAAATTACGAGAATCTAATTTAACAAGAACCAAGATAAAGAAACTTACATGTCATCCATGAATTTTGCAGCCACCATAACACTTGTAATGAGCAACCGATGAACATTGAAGGAATTAACCGGCAAAGAAGGTTGTTTTTGAGTGAAACGATCAAGATAAACATATGCAACAATGAAACACGATGGACTACAATTTGCATACTTGAAAATTCTTTCAAGGTAGCTTTGAATTGAGATGTTGGGTCGAGTTAAGCCTTGAAAAACTGAGATCTTTTGTTGTTCTAGTTGTTGGTTGGTATCATTTGATTCAGCTACTTTGTTGAGGAGAGAAGATAGAAAAGCTATAAGCTTTGGCATTTCATTAGGATTCTCAGCCATTGATAATATGGAGTTTTTTTACAAGAGTGCTTGTAATTTATGTCTCATATATATGGCTAATGGCTATATATGAGAAGAAAAAAAAGTGAAAGTGGTTGTTTAGGGTAGGTACTTTAATTGGCTAAAATACTCCTTTTAAAATTTATGTCTGATATGTGATTGTGCAAAGGTAGAATAAATGATGAATAGAGAAATATTCTATTAAGAGAATGACGGCTACACACAACTACATAAATTGCAATAATTGCAACCCTATTTATAAGCTAAAACTAGGGTTATTAGAATAAGTTAAAAATACTAAAATACCCTCTAACAAATTTAGGAGTTAAGAAAATAGTACAACTAATAAATATGAATTATTTCTAATAATATGTCTGCCTCAATCGAGAGTGTCTCGTAAAAATTAATATTAATACTAGTCGTATATAAAATGAGGTAGAACAATCATATTAGAGAATACAGAAACTTGGAACCAGAGTGTGATTTAGAAAATTTAAATAAACCAGACATATTCAATTTATCCGACCCATTTTAGTACCCTGAAATTATGGTTTAATGGTGATTTATTTGTGAGAATAGAGATGGCATTCCATACCCATCATGTGATTACATGTGAACAAATTTGTTACGGTAGTAAAGGGACCCACGTTTAAGGGGACCTTTGCATGTGTTTTGATTCTGTTCAAGTGAGTGGCATAACATGGATTTGCTATGATGTTTGGTCTTTAGACTTTAGTATTAGTATATGCTGTTTTTTTGTTCCTATTTCCTTGCTTAACCAATACAACAAATGCAGAGAAAGGTGGTGGTGATTGGTGCTTTGATTTAAGATGGTTCATGTGACCCAAAAATGTTTTAGGTTTTTAATAGTACAATAAAGAATAGTCACTAATTTGTAAGGTTCATGTGAAGGGATCTAACTTTTATAAGATTTTAGAGATTTGGGGTATCAAATGAGTCCATTACTTTGTGTCTGGATTGGTGAAAGATTTTGGTGCTCTCCAATCACAATTATGAGATCTCAATATTCATGTGAGACAATTAAATTTAAATTAATTGTATTTTTTGTCTCTCTTTTATTTTTTATCAACACCTTATCTTATTCTTTACTTATACAGTAAAAAAAAAACTATACAAAATTCCTCTAATTTTTTTATAAAAAAACACTGTACAAGTGGTACTCAATCCAATTACAAAATTATTTTAAAATTTTAAGAAGTCCATTAAATTTTTCAATCAATCATAAAATGTTCTAGGACACTTATTACTCTGCACATTATTTTCAATATTTTTATAAGGTTAATTTAGTAAAAATGTAATGTCTTATAATAATATTATTGTATTTTTTAATCTGTGTTCTAAAACACTAAACGACAATCATTTTAAAACGGAGGAAATATATGACAAGAGAAAAATAAGCGTTGCACTCTTTTTTTTACTTTTAAAATAAAAAAATATTAATCTGTGTTCTAAAACATTAAACGACAATCATTTTAAAACGGAAGAAGTATATGATAAGAGAAAAATAAGTGTTGCACTCTTTTTTTTACTTTAAAATAAAAAAACACAAACACATTCATGAGTGTTCGATTCTAACTCTCTCACTTATAAAAAAATTCTAACCCTTTCTTCTTAAGTTCAGGTTTTGTGGATAGTCTATTCAACATAGCTCTCTACCCAAAGACCTTGGCTTTAGAAGCGACATATGCCTTCCAAATCTTTTGAAATATCTCCAAGCATTTTCATTTTGAATTTTAGGATTTGTATTGTTCGTTAAGTTGATATAACATAACTTAATAGATATTTTTTTTCCTCATTTCTAAATCATTTCAGTTCATCTTTCACATTTCTTCCAAGTGAAATCCCAATTAAAGTTTCCAACAATCCTGCAAATTAATTTTCTGCTTCTGAGTTATTGATTGATTCTGGTAAACTGGTTTTCTAACTCTATTCTCCATCATTCAATCTCCATATGTCTTATATTTTGGATGTTTTATAACATAAAATTTAAAACAGGTTTGAGAAAATTTTCACTACTACAAATAACACATAATGACAGTCGCGAATTGCATATAACCCGGCTACACATGAAAGGTAATAGACAACGACATGAAAAGAAATCACTTGTCACTTCGGTTAATATAAAGTCGAGGTTAGAAATTAAAAGGCCGTTGGATCGATCCCTGAGATCAGTATTTTCAGCATCTGTTCTTTTAAAGGTTGAGTCTTCAACCATTTGTTATTCCAAAATTTCATTCTACTTCATCTATCTAATTTATATGATAAGTTTTCATCAAACCAATCCAAGTTCATCATCCACTTGAACACTAGTTGCTTTAAATCCTCCCACCATAAAGATTTCAAGCCAATTTTTCTATTGGTCCATTTGTTTTCTCTACCCCTGGAACTAACATCATATCGATGCTTTATCAATCCTCTATATATTGCTTCTTCATCCTTTAGAATCATCTATTTCCATTTTCCCAACAAAGATATGTTAAAAGCTTATACATGTTTAATTCATAAACCATCTACTTCCTTTGATCTGCAAACACCTTTCCAGCTTACCCAATCAATGCTCTTTTTTTCTTCACGTCCACCTCATAAGAAATTTCTTTGTATCTTGATGATTTCCTTCAAAACCTGTTTTGGGGCCTTAAAAAGAATAACATGTATAAATAAATATTACATAGAGTTGAGCTCAGTAAAGTTATTCTCCCTCATATAGATAGTATTTTTCCTTTCCATGATGATAACCTAGTTCTTATTCATTCAATGGATGGTTTCCAATTTGCACAACTTCTAAAATTTAAGCTAATTGAAATTTCCAAGAAGTTGAAGGGCACAAATCCCTTACAGCAAGATAAAAAGTGTGATGTTTATCCCATCAAATGATATCTTGCATTTACTCTTATCAACTTACTTTTGAAGAAGTTGTCTCTCAATTATGATATAAGCTGAAAACTTATTAATATTGACTTTATGGTCCAAAAATTATGCCAAGTACCTTCTCTTACCAATATCGTGTCGTTTGCAAACTATAGCAATTGAAATGCTTCCTCATCCCTAATTCTAAATTCTTTGAACATCCATAAACTATATGCTTTCTTCATCATTCCTTCTAGTCCTTCAGTTGCTATAGTGAAAAGGAAAGGGGATATGGGATCTTGTTTCCTTAATCCTCTACTACTTTTGAATTCTTTAGTTAGGCTACCATTTACTAGTATTAACATAGAGTTATTGAAGATATATGCTTCCATCTAAATAGTCCATCTCTTTCTAAAACCTAATCTTCTCAGCACGTGTCTTAGATAGTTCCAAGCTACACAATCATATGTGTTTTCATAATCTACCTTGAGCATCAAACAGTCCCTTTTTTCTCTCTTAGACACATCTAAAATCTCATTGACACTAAAACCCCATCCAAAATATGCCTACCAGGAATAAAAGTAGTATGAGTCTTTGAAATTAGTTTTCCCAATATGTTTTTCAATCTTGAAGCTAGAATTCTGTCTAAGAATTTGTATAAACTTCCTATAAAGCAGATACGTTTGAAATCACCTAAATCTTGAGGGTTATCCATCTTAGGTACCAATTCTATAAATGATGAAGTTACTGCTCTAGGTAGCTTAAAACTATAATGAAATTCATTGACAAATATCTTCCTTTAAAATCTCCCAACATTTTTTTAGAAAATTAAAGTTGTAGCCATCAAGTCTTAGGCTCTTGTACCCATCACTTTCCACATTGTTCTCTTAATATCCTCATATGAAAATCTCTCTTCTACTCTTCTCTACTATTCCAATGACATAGTCATAAAGTCTATACCATCCAGATTAGGCCTATAAACCTATCCTAAAAATATCTTTTCGCTTCTTCCTTGATCTCTGCCACTCCTTATACTTTTCCTTTGCTTGTTTCAATTGTCATTAAAGTGTTTCTCCTTCTTCTTGACTTAAGCATATAATGAGTGTATCTTGTGTTCACATGTCCTTCTCTGGTCCACTTTTGTCTTGATTTTTTTCTTAATAGACTTTCTTTTATTTTTAAGTTCCCTCACACCAATTAAAATGCATTTCTCTTCTTCATCCCTAGGTCTAATTGTGGCTCATCATTGCTCTCACTCAACAAAAAGTCTAACTCATTTAATTCTTCACTGCCTCATTTACTCTTAAATCTACCTAATCAAACACCTATGCACTCCACCATCTTAATTTTCTTTCAATATTTTTATATTTTCTTTCATTACATATGTTTTTCTCCTAAACCTCTAAAGCTTTCCATTCTTTCTCAAAAAAAAGGCATGAAATCCCTATGTTCAAACCAATAATTGTTGGTTTTGAATGGTTTTGGTCCCTAGTTGATGTCACTACCCTTAATCCACACAGGACAATAGTGTAAAGTGTCCCTCAAACCTATTTCTTGTAAGTCCAATTCTTCAACCTCTGACCTATATGGAAAGGTCATTCTCAATTTAGAGCAAGTTTGCCTTTCTTCTTGGGGTCGGTCACCTTCTTCATCGCTAGATCTCCTTTTTGAAATTCCCTTTGCCTTACTTTGATATTAAACCTCCTGAAAATTCTATGCTTGGCTCCTTTATGTGGGTTATCTCCTTGATTTCATCCAATAAATCTACAGAATTATCTAGACCGTCTGAGTTGGTGTTTTCATCAAATAAAATGCCTCCAAATCGAAGTGTTGATTTCAAATGTATCATTGCATCGGCTCCATAAACCATCCTAAAAGGAGTTTATAGAGTAGTTGAATAAGGTATAGCATGATAAGATCACAAGATTTCATACACGTACTCGACCTATAACCCTTTAGCTTCACCCAACTTCTTTTTCATCCCGGTTAAAATAATTTTATTTGTCGCCTCTGCCTGGCCATTTTCTTGAGGATGTTCCACCAAAATAAATTGATTTTGTATTCCCAAATATTTGCAAAACTTTATTACTGATGAACTAGCGAATTGCATGTCGTTGTCTGACACAATAACC